AGGAAAGCAAAGTGAATGAAAATTGGACAAACTAATCAAATTTGGGCCACCTCTTGCCTTTTGTAGGAGACTAGCATGCAACGTAATTTATTTATTTTGGCCCAGGAGAATTAATAGACTACAACCCTATGTTTCCTATATAAAAGCTGAACGTGAACCAAGGAAACGGGGGTGGCCGCGGAACAGAATTGGTGTACTTGGAGTTGGGCTGCGCGTAACAAAGAAAAGGGCAGCAGCCCCTTGCTGCTGTCCTGCACTTGTTCTTCGTTTGTTTTAATTTAATTATGTCGCATAATTTAGTTTTTAATTGTTAGAGTACATGAATGTTGTCTAATGAATTGCTACTCTTCATTGGTGATTTTAATGGCTAATTCTTCCGTTATAATTTCTCGATAATTATCTTAATCAAATATTTGCTTGTGTTTGTGAATTTAGCATACTTAGGAATAAAATGTTAGATTTGGCTCTGTTGAAATAGGCCATAACTTAAACGTAAAAGTTTGGAGTTTCTTACCTGATAGCAATATATCGGTAAGGCATGGTTGGCCGTACGAGATACCCAGATTTAATGACTCTACAATTAAATGCAACCATATGAATATAGGTTTATGATTAATTGTTGGGATACCCTTATGACTTCGGAAGGAGCTTAAAGATACAATTAGAAGATCCGACCATCATTTGTCATTATTGTTACATTAATAATTAGTTAGCAATTGAAGTAGAAATAAGAGTTGAATCCTTCTCTAGATTTAATCTTTTCATCATCATTATAGTCTTAGGAATTTATTTTCATTGTTAAATGATTTCTCTTTGGTTTTAATTACTATTTTCGAAACTTGATATTTACTTGCCTCCCTGTGGGATTCCACCCTACTTGCCGCATTATTGTATTTTAGAGTAGGTTAATAATTGTTGGTCTGACACACATCAATTTTGGTGCCGTTGCCGGGGAGGCAATAATTAAATGTCAGGTTTGAAAGAAAGTATTCCAATCTTTGAGCTATTAATGAAAAATTGTCCACCTTACCAGAAAAATCTTCATTATTGGAATAATTGCCCCAATTTTAATAGTTGGGGAGGTTACCAAAAAAAATTCACCTTATTCTGAATTTAATCCTAGTTTTGCTAATATCTGCTTTAATTCTTTTGAGCAGGAAAACTACAACTCCAGTGTATCCCTTCATGAACTAATATCCCAAGAGAAGCAAAGAAAAGAGATTGAGGAGCTCACTCAAATCGTTCTCCAAGTGACAAAAAGTTATGAAGTTATGAGTGTAGAGGTCCAAAAAATGGTTGTGCTCTTGGGATGTAAGGGAGAGAAGAATCATGATGAAAGGGACTTGCCTATGAAAAAAGTAGAGAGCGTGTAAGAAGAAGAAGATGAGACACCACAACTTGAAGAAACTATTTTGGATGATGTGCTAGAAAATGGCGATTCGAATGTGGTGCTTGTTCAAAAAAATTTTCTACCTCTTGAAAAGCAAAATCTCATTGATTCAGAGGTTCCAGATTCTTTGGTGGTTTTGGAAGAGTCAATTGTAGTCATTTGTGAGAACAAGAAGGATGGAGTTGAAGGTAAATTTTCTTGGGGAGTGCATGATAAATATGTTGATTTCAATCAATTCCAAGCCAACAGATCCCCCAAGAAGTTGGAAAAGTTGAAAAGAGTTTATTTTCTCATATGTTGGATGATGAATAATTTTGAAGAAAATGCTTCCTGGAGGCATGATCGGAGAGTCGATGGCACATTTTTGTGATATCGGGATAGTTATTCCGAGTGGCCAAGATATATGAAAGTTTATGCTTGAACGGATCTTGCAAATTTTCGTTCATTTCTTTCTTTTATAATTTCTTTTTAGTGTTTAATCTTCATCTAATAAATGGTTTCTTTGTTGTGTGTTTTGCAGACTCTTCCCAAGGAAATGGCATTCCAAAGGACTCTAGTGAGTGTCAATGTTCATTCTAAGGAGTGTTTTGAGTGAAAGAAGTGTTATCTTAAGCATGATCACGCCTTAGAAGGCATTAGTCTCGGTTGCCCTTCTTCTCTGAATCACTCTGCGTAGTGAACCATCTCACTCTACGGTGTGGTTTGAAGCACAGTAACATAATATTGAGGTGCTCCACAGAGGACAACTTCCACTCTACGGAGTGAGTATGAAGCAAAGTTGAGCAAAAAAAGAAAAAAAAAATTGGACTCGCTAGGTACTCTCCAGAGCGGCTACATCACTCCACGGAGTGATGCAGAAAACAACTTGGTGCTGAAAATTTTTATTTCTCTCTGTTTTTGGCTCACCTTATGCCTTTGAGTTAGGGAAGTCTTTCTCTTTGCTCTCTTAACTGATATTTAAATTTGAAATTGAATGCTAAGGATTGATAAAGTGTGTGATACTTTGGTTTTGAAAATTTGTGTACTTAATGTCTAAATGGTTGTCTTTAGTCTAGAGTTAGATTTTGGTTATCTTTTTGAGCATTGATGCCATCAAACAATCTTGTGATAAATTTTCAAAATCAATTTGAGTGATGGAATTTGAATTACCTAGTTCCTTTATGAGTTTTGGTGTTCAATTTAAATTTAATTTTTGGAACGATGGTGTTTTGATTTGCTTGCTTTGTATGGTCTGTATGCATAAGTTTTTTTGTGTATCCCAAGGAACTCGATGAGCTTAATTTTTATTATCTTTAGTCTGTGTGACACTCAAAAGGGACCTTTGTTGTGTTTTCTTTATTGTTGGCGGTTACAATGTCGATTGGCCGTAACAAGGATGTCATAAACCCTTGTATCGTGTGTTGCACCTAGGGTAGCTGTGTTGGGTTCTACAATCACAACAAGCTTGTCAAGTGTGGATTGACATGTCTTCGAAATAGGAGAGTGTTTCTAATTCTTTATTATTTTTGTACTTCCTTTGAGTTTTGCATTTTTTTGATATTATGAAGACAGTCATATTTAAGTTTGGGAAAATAGTGTCGCCATGTTATCTGATCATTATCTTTGCATGACGTGTATTTTTGTGGATCTTTTTCTATGTACTATGCCATGTTGTTATTAGTTGTTTTCTTTCCTTTTGTCTTTATGTGCGTTCATTGAGGACAATGTCCATTTTAAGTTTGGGGGAGAGAATAGTTCATGTTTTGGGTAGTAGTGCATATGTCCTCAAGTATTCGGTTCAAACTCTTGTTTTCTTAAAAAAAAAAGAAAAAGAAAGAAAATGTTTCAATAAAATCAAATTAAATTAAAAAAAAAATTTGCATGCCTTGAGAATTGTTAATAATCTATGATGAGTTCAATTTTGAGGGTTACATATGATTGTAAAAACACCAGTTCAGGATCACTCTTAGGCAATGTTAGAAACTCGTGACCACATCTTATGCACAACATTCCATGTGACAATGTGTTGCTTCGGGCTTAAAATTTAAATCTTGAACGCTTAATGCATTGTTGTGATCTTATACTAGAGTCCACTTGTCTGAAACCTGGGGGGATTGTAAATTTGAGAGTTAGACTAAGGCAGCCATACACATTATGGCATTCTCGAATTGAACCCATGTTGGTTTGGATTAACCTAAATACTTGAGAAAAGGGGGGAAGTTGGTGGTTGAATTTGAGGTTAAGTTCTTTATCTAAGGAGGGAGTATATGCAGAGTGTCCAATGTGGCATTTAATCCCTTGAGAGGTGAGGTATGGTACCAAAGAGAGGAATGTCTTCTGCCCTTGTGAGATTAAAAAGAAATTAAATGCTTAGATTACCATAGTTGCTGAAACATGCTCTTGGTAAAGGCTTGAGTGGGAAAGTGTCCGAAGAAAAACCAATTGGACCAAGGTGGAAAAGGTACGAGGGTAAAAAGATACAGCCAATGATACTTGCAGAAATGAGAGAAAACCCTTATTTCTAAATCTTAGTAAGAATACCCTAGTTAAGGGCAAGAAGGAACTAGGTGTTTATCGCAAGAATGCAGACATGAAGGACCTAGATGGCAAGTTTGGCAACATAATCCATTTTGGCCGAGGAAAGCAAGGTGAATGGAAATTGGACAAACTAATCGAATTTGGGCCTCCTCTTGCCTTTTGTTGGAGACTAGCATGCAACATAATTTATTTATTTTGGCCCAGGAGAATAAATAGACTACAACCCTATTTTTCCTATATAAAAGCTGAACGTAAATTTAGCATTCTTAGGAATAATATGTTAGATTTGGCTCTGTTGAAATAGGTCATGACTTAAATGTAAAAGTTTAGGGTTTCTTACCAGATAGGAATATACCGGTAAGGCATCGTTAGGCATACGAGATACCCGGATTTAATGACTCTACAATTAAATGCAACCATATAAATATAGGTTTATGATTAGTTGTGGGGATACCCTTATGACTTCGGAAGGAGCTTAAGGATATAATTAGGAGATCCGACCATCATTTGTCATCATTGTTAGATTAATAATTAGTTAGCAACTGAAGTAGAAATAACAGTTGAATCCTTTTCTTGATTTAATCTTTTCACCACTATTATAGTCTTAGGAATTTATTTTCATTGTTAAATTATTTCTCTTTGGTTTTATTTACGATTTTCAAAAATTGATATTTACTTACCTCCCTGTGAGATTCGACCCTATGTGCCGCTTTATTGTGTTTTAGAGTAGGTTAATAACTGTTAATTTGACACCCATCAATTTTGGCGCCGTTGTTGGGGAAGCAATAGTTAAATGTCAGGTTTGAAAGAAAGTGTGCCAATATTTGAGGTATTAATGAAAAATTGTCCACCTTAACAGGAAAATCTTCATTATTGGAATAATCGCCCCAATTTTAATAGTTGGGGTGGTTACCAACACTATTCATCTTATTCTGAATTTAATCCTAGCTTTGCTAATATCTGCTTTAATTCCTTTGAGCAGGAAAACTACAACTCCAATCCATCCCTTCATGAACTAATATCCCAAGAGAAGCAAAGAAAAAAGATTGAGCTCACTCAAATCGTTCTCCAAGTGACAAAAAGTTATGAAGCTATGAGTGTAGAGGTCCAAAAAATGGTTGAGCTCTTGGGGTATAAGGGAGAGAAGAATCATGATGAATGGGAGTTGCCTACGAAAAAAGTAGAGAACGTGGTAGAAGAAAAAGATGAGACACCACAACTTGAAGAAACTATTTTGGATGATGTTCTCGAAAATGGCGATTTGAATGTGGTGCTTAGTCAAACAATTTCTCTACCTCTTGAAATACAAAATCACATTGACTCAGAGGTTCAAGATTCTTTGGTGGTTTAAGAAGAGTCAATTGTAGTCTTTGCTGAGAACAACGAGGATGGAGTTTGAAGGTGAATTTTCTTGGTGAGTGCATGATAAACATGTTGATTTCAATCAATTCCAAGCCCACCCCCCAAAAAGCTGGAAAAGTGGAGAAGTGTTGATTTCCTTATATGTTGGATGATGAATAATTTTGGAGAAAATGCTTCCTGGAGGCATGATCGGAGAGTCGATGACACATTTTTGTGGTATCGAGATGGTTATTCCGAGTGACCAAATATATGAGAGTTTATGCTTGAACGGATCTTGCAAATTTCCGTTCATTTCTTTCTTTTATAATTTCTTTTTAGTGTTTAGTCTTCATCTAATAAATGGTTTCTTTGTTGTGTATTTTGCAGACTCTTCCCAAGGAAATGGCAGTCAAAAGGACTATAGTGAGTGTCAATATTTATCTTAAGCAAGATCACGCCTTAGAAGGTATTGGTCTCGGTTGCTCTTCTCCTCTGAATCACTCCGAGGAGTGGCCCATCTCACTCTACGGAGTGATCTAAAGCACAGTGACATAATACTGAGGCACTCCGCAGAGCAATAACTACCACTCTACGGAGTGGGTCTGAAGCAAAGTTGAGCAAAAAAAAAAAAAAAAACTCACTGGGCACTCTCCAGAGCGGCTACATCACTCCACGGGGAGATGTAGAAAACAACTTGATGCTGAAAATCTTTATTTCTCTCCTTTTTTGGCTCATCCTATGCCTTTGAGTTAGGGAAGTCTTTCTCTTTGCTCTCTTAACTGATACTTAAATTTGAAATTGAATGCTAAGTCCTTTGAAGGTTTGATAAAGTGTGTGATATTTTGGTTTTGAAAATTTGTGTACTTAATGTCTAATTTTATTCTTTAGTCTGGACTTAGATTTTGGTTATTTTTTTCAGCATTGATGCCATCAAGCAATCTTGTGATAAATTTTTAAAATCAATTTGAGGGATGGAATTTGAGTTACCTAGTTCCTTTCTGAGTTTTGGTCTTCAACTTAAATTTAATTTTTGGAACGATAGTGTTTTGATTTGCTTGCTTTGTGTGGTCTGTATGCATAAGTTTTTTTGTGTATCCCAAGGAATTCGATGGACTTAATTTTTATAACCTTTAGTCAGTGCTAAAATGCTAATCTTTGGACTCAAAAGAGACCTTTGTTGTGTTTTCTTTATTGTTGGTAGTTACAATGTCGGTTGGCCGTAATATGGATGTCATGAACCCTTGTATCGTGTGTTGTACCAAGGGTAGCTTTGCTGGGTTCTACAATCACAACAAGCAAGTTTGTCGAGTGCGGATTGACAGGTTTTCCAAATAGGGGAGTGTTTCTAATTCTTCATTATTTTTGCACTTCCTTTGAGTTTTGCATTTTTTTGATATTATGAAGACAGTCATATTTAAGTTTGGGGGAAACAGTGTCATGCTATGTTATCTGATTATTATATTTGCATGACGTTGATTTTTGTGGATCTTCTTCTATGTACTATGTCATGTGGTTATTAGTTATTTTCTTTCCCTGCGTGTCTATGTGTGTCTATTGAGGACAATGTCCATTTTAAGTTTGGGGGAGAGAAGAGTTCATGTTTTGGGTAGTAGTGCATATGCCCTCAAGTATTCGGTTCAAACTCTTGTTTTCTTCCAAAAAGAAAAAATTAAAAGAAAAAAAATGTTTCAATAAAATCCAGTTAAATTTTTTAAAAAATTTGCATGCTTTAAGAATTGTCAATAATCTATGATGAGTTCAATTTTGAGGGTTACATATGATTAAAAAAGCACCAGTTCAGGATCACTCTTAGGCATTGTTAGAAACTCATGACCACATCTTATGCACAACATTCCATGTGACAATGCGTTGCTTTGGGCTTAAAATTTTAAATCTTGAATGCTTAATGCATTATTGTGATCTTATACTGGAGTTCCCTTGTCTGGAACCTGGGGGGACTGTAAATCTGAGAGTTAGACTAAGGCAGTGCTACGCATATGGCAGTCTCGAATCGAGCTTATAGTGGTTTGGATTAGCCTAAATACCTTGGAAAAAGGAGAAAAAGTTGGCGGTTGAATATGAGGTTAAGTATGCTTTATCTAATTAGGTAGTATAGGCAGAGCGTCCAATGTGTCATTTAATCCCTTGAGAGGTGAGATATGACACCAAAGAAGTGTCCTCTATCCTGGTGAGATTAAAAAGAAATTAAATGCTTAGATTACCATAGTTGCTGAAACATGCTCTTGGGAAAGGCCTGTATGGGAAATAGTCCGAAGAAAAGCCAATTGGACCAAGGTGAAAAAGGTACAAGGGTGAAAAGATGCAGTCAATGATGCCTGCAGAAATGAGAAGAAACTCTTAGTTCTAAATCTTAGTAAGAATACCCTAGTTGAGGACAAGAAGGAAATAGGTATTTATCACAAGAATGCAGGCATGAAGGACCTGAATGGCAAGTTTGGCAACTTAATCCATTTCGGCCGAGGAAAGCGAAGTGAATGAAAATTGGACAAACTGATCAAATTTGGGCCACCTTTTGCCTTTTGTAGGAGACTAGCATGCAACATAATTTATTTATTTTGGCCGAGGAGAATTAATAGACTACAACCCTATATTTCCCATATAAAAGCTGAACGTGAACCAAGGAAATGGGGGTGGCCGCGGAGCAGAATTGGAGTACTTATAGTTGGGCTGCGCGCAACAAAGAACAAGGAAGTAGCCTCTTGCGGCGGTCCTACCCCTATTCTTCGTTTGTTTTAATTTAATTATGTCCGAGTAATTTAGTTTTAAATTGTTAGAGTACATGGATATTTTCTAAAGAATTGTTACTCTTCATTGGTGATTTTAATGGCTATTTCTTCCGTTATAATTTTCCGGTAATTATCTTGATCAAATATTTGCTTGTGTTTGTGAATTTAGCATACAAAGGAATAAGATGTTAGATTTGGCTCTGTTGAAATAGGCCATGACTTAAACGTAAAAGTTTAGGATTTCTTACTGATAAGAATATACCGGTAAGGCATGGTTGGCCATACGAGATACCCGGATTTAATGACTCTACAATTAAATGCAACCATATGAATATAGGGTTGTGATTAGTTGTAGAGATACCCTTATGACTTCGGAAGAAGCTTAAGGATATAATTAGGAGATCCGACCATCATTTGTCATTAATATTAGATTAATAATTAGTTAGCAACTTATGAACACGTCCCTACGTATTGTCCAAAGTGCAGCAAAATTGGGCACAAGGAAAGGGACTGCCGTATTGGAAAGCTGGCTCCCCAGAAAATTGTTGTGGATGAGGTAAATGCTCCGAATGAAAAGAAGAATGGAATCAAAATGGCCAAGCAAAAAGTGAAGTTGGGACCGAAAAACCTCAGGAAAAGCCAAAGGTTGAGGTTGAAATCATAAACGCTAATCCGTTAATCATTAAGGCAGTAGAAGTGGGTTCATTCCCTGCGGAAACCCTAGGCGCGGGTTCATCGCCTGGGGAAACCCTAGGCGTGGCTCCGGAAACCCTAGGCGCGCCCCTCTGCGGAAAGTCGATCCCTGGGGAATCAACTTCGGGTCTTGTAGCGAGTGAGAAGACAGTGATCCCAGTGGACATTCCCGACTCTACGCCTCCAAAAGAAGTAACTGAGGAAGAGGAAAATCGGGACTCTAAACAAGCTGCGACTCAGTTAACTGAAGCTCCGCAGGTTGAGGTTTCTCCTAAAGGGAATCAATTCTCTATTCTTGCGGATATTGATGAAGTGACAAATGGATCTGACTTTAGTGAGGAGAATGTAGAACAAATCCTGGTTGAGAAGCCATCGCTTGAGAACAAATCAGCTCTCGAAAAGCGTGAAACCCTAGCCTTAGCATCAATTCTGGATGCCACACAGTTGGAAAATAAACATTCGGATGACAGCAATGTAGGCTCTCGAAGTCTGCTTGAGGACAGCGAGGATGAGTACGTCAACAGTGATGATGAACGATGGTCTGAGGGAGACAGGTTTGATCTTGAATCTCCACAACTTGCAGCTGGGAATGTTTCTGTTCCTAAGAAAAGAGGTCATAAATCAAAAAGTGAAAAGGCTAAGTTGCTGCTTCACATGGTTCCGCGGCGATCTTCCCGTCTAAACTGATTCTCTTTTATTCATTTTTTCCAATGATTAGACAAATAATTTGGAATATTAGAGGTATAAGAAATCAAGCGTCTCAAAGGTGTTTGAGATCCCTACTCAGAAGGCATAATGTTACTTTGTTGATTGTGTTAGAGCCAATGGTTCAGGCTCATAGTCTGGAAGAAATAAGACGGGAGTTAAATTTTGATGTTGCTATTGCTTCTCACTCCAATAAAATCTGGTTCTTCTGTCAGAAAGAGTTTACAGTTTCCTTGTTAGAAGATCATGGTCAGGTCATGCATTTTGAACTATTGCATTTGTTGGTTCCTAGTCGTTTCTATCTGTCGGCTGTGTATGCAAAATCCACCAAGGCAGCAAGGTTGGCATTGTGGCGGAACATGGCAAACTTTCGGTTGAACAATCTGGCTGTGCCATGGATGATTAGAGGAGATTTTAATGTTATTCGTTCATTAGACGAATACTCAGGCAACTCAGTGCAAGATCATGGAGCAATTAGTGATTTTAATGAATGTATTGATGCCTGTGGTTTGCTTGAGATTCCGACTGTGGGCGAGGAATTCACATGGGGAGGCTCTCGCCAAACGGGGTGGGTGAGTAAAAAACTTGACAGGCTTTTATTTTTAGAAGAGTGGCAAGATCTATTTCCAGTTTCATGTATTGAAAACCTAAATCGAACTACTTCGGATCATAGCCCTATGTTGCATCTGTTTGCTGCGCAAGGTGAAAGCAAACCTAGATTGTTTCGGTTCCAAAATATGTGGCTTAGAAGGCACGATTTCCGTAGTGTGGTTAGTGAAAATTGGGAGCAACCTGTTGAGGCCTTTGGAATGCTTGGTTTTTCGGTCAAATTGCATAGATTGAAGCAGCGCTTGAAGGAGTGGAACAAGCACACTTTTGGTAATGTGTTCGACAACTTGAAAGAGGCAAAATCCAAGGTTCAGCATCTTGAAGGATTATATGATCGCTCTGGTTCTGTTCATGATAGAATGAACTTGCAGCTTGCCAAAGCTTCACTACTTCAAAAACTTAGAGAACATGAAGATTTCTGGAAGCAAAAAGCAAGGTTGAAATGGCTGAAAGATGGCGATGGTAATACGTCTTACTTCCATGCTTCTTTAAAAGAAAGGAGATTGAGGCAAGGAATATACAAAATTCAGTCTAGAGATGGTGTAATGCTTACTGAACCATCTTTAATTGAGGATGAGGCGGGAGTCTTTTTTAAGGAGCTCCTAACTGAGGATGCAAATCAAAATGATGAGTTTCATGATCTGTTCTTGCAGCATATTCCCACAGTTCTTGATCAATTAGACCATGAAAAATTGTTGCGGCCTATTTCCTTAGAAGAAGTGCGAGAGGCGGTATATAATTTAAATCCGGAAAGTGTGCCGGGGGTGGACGGTTTTGGTAGAGTATTTTACAGGAGCTGTTTGAGTATCATAGCAAGTGATCTTTGGAAAGCATGCCAAGAATTTATGCTCAGCATTCCGCTTCCAAGAGCTATTACTAGCACTCTGATTTCCCTTATTCCTAAGAAGGCAACGGTTTGTTCTTTTGCGGACTTTCGTCCCATTAGCCTTTGTAACTTTCTGAACAAGATCTTTACCAAGGTGATTATGGAAAGGCTCAAAGTTGTCTTGCCAAGATTGATATCAGAAGAGCAATCGGCAGTTTTGGAAGGTTGAGACATCATTGATAATGTTTTACTTGCTCAAGATTTGTGCCAATTTATTGATCGCAAAGCGGTGGGAAGTAATATGGTTATTAAAGTTGATATGATGAAAGCCTTCGATAGGGTTTCTTGGTGTTTCCTTGAGTTGGTCCTACTCAAATTCGGTTTCCCTCAGGCCTTTGTAAATTTGATTTTGAACAATCTCAGGGATAGCTGGTTCTCAGTTTTGGTAAATGGAAGTCCAGTGGGGTACTTTCAAGCATCACGCGGCATTAAGCAAGGTGATCCACTTTCACCTTACTTGTTCATTCTTGTATCCGAAGCTCTAACTAGAAGAGTAAAAGCCTTGGCTCTTAGAGGGAAGATTGCATCATATGGCATACCTGCGGGTGGCTTTGTTGTCTCACACTTGTGCTTCGCGGATGATTTGATCATTTTCACAAGGGGGCTGCGACGTTCTTTAAAGAAAATCAATGAATTCTTTGATCAATATGAAGCTGCTTCTGGTCAAAAAGTAAGTCGTCATAAAAGCTTTTTTGTAGCTTCTGAGAAATGTAATCCGAGGAGAGTTGAAATGATCAGGAGAACTTTGGGAATGGAAAAGGGATCTTTTCCTTTTGCCTACTTAGGTTTTCGGCTTTTCAAGGGGAGGAAAACTTCTTCAATGTTTCAGTTCTTGTTGGATGCCCTAGACTCAAAGTTGTTGAATTAGAAAAATAAGATGTTGTCTCCGGGTGGCAAATTGATGCTTATCAAGCATGTTTTGTCTTCCATTCCAATTCATGTATTCTCAGCCATTCCTCCCCCTATCTCAATAATCAAAAGATGGAGAAACGTTGTCAGAAGTTTCTTTGGAGTGGCTCCACTGAAGAAAAGAAAAGGCATTGGAGAGCATGGAGTAGGCTTACTTTTCCTACCTCGGAGAATGGGCTAGGGTTTCGAAGTTTTCATGATAACATTGATGCCTTGACTGCTAAGCTTTGGTGGAAAGTAAAGCAAAAGAAAGGCATATGGAGCCATTTCACTTTGTCACTCTTTAACTTGGCCAAAAAGAAAACCTCATGGTCCAGGGTAATGAAATTGGAAGATAGCTTGATTGAGCATACAAAGATCATCTTGCGAGGGGGTGATAGATCTTTTTGGTTCGACAATTGGTCAGCTTATGGGGTCCTAAGCAAGTTATGTGAATTTCAGCTGCCTTCTCCACACTTGTCAATCCGAGAGTTCTTTGCTAACAAGGCATATCACCTTGCTGCAATGCGAGATATCCTCTCCTTAGAAATAAGAAACTTTTTTCTATCCTTTGATTATGTTTTTTCTGATGATACTGATCTCTTTGTTTGGTAGCATAATCCGCAGGGCCAATTCTCAGTCAAGTCGGCCTATGATGTTCTTCGTAACCGGATTGATGATGTTGATCCCTTGTTGCGAAACATATGGAACGAATTGGTCCCTTCTCGAATTTCATTCTTCTTGTGGAAGTTGCGAAATGGCTTGTTGCCTTTTCCTAATGTTGTTGCGCACTTTGGATTAGCTGTAAGACCCTCAATGTGTTCATTTTGTCGGAATCATTTGGATGATTTACTCCATTGCTTCTATAGCTGTGAATTTATTCAAGGCATTTGGGCTCATTTTGCGGCACTCATGAGTATCAATATCAATGGTCATACAGCTTGCACTTGTTATGAAAATGGTGGTCCAAGGGTAGCTTCACTTCAGCCAAAAAATCTTCCATCATGTTGATTCCCTCCTTCATCCTTTGGGAAGTTTGGAAAGCGAGAAACAAGATGATCTATGAAGGTTAGCCATCTCCTAATTATGTAATGCATTCAATCTCATCTAGTGTTCGCGATCTTCTATTGGTGCATGATCTTAAAGTACGTAGTGAGGTTGAGAAGGATTTCATTGCGAGTGTATTTGGTGTTAAGCTTTCTAGATCCAATCTAAGAGTTGTAAAATGGTGAGATGGATCCTGCTAGATTCAAATTCATTTATTTTGAATACTGATGGCTCTTCTATTGGGGATGCGGGTTATGGGTTTATCATCTGCGGCGAAGGAGAATTTTTTCCTTAAATATATTTCCTTATATATATCTGGACAAAAATAAACCTTTCAAAAATTTTGTGGATAAACTTATATGTCCCGTATTTAGGAAATCCGAATGGGGTGAAACTCGGATTTCGGAAATCCGAACCTCAATAAACTCGGATTATAAAAATCCGACTTTGTGTTACGTAAATCTGATATTAAGTTAATGACAGAAATTAGTGTAATTAATCTAAATCCGGATTTTCTAAATCCGTATTTACAAATAAAATATTAATTTCCGGATAGAAAAAAAATATGTGTTGAAAAATTAAATTTGAGAAAACTCGGATCACGGTAATCTGAATAAATATAGATTCGGATTACCGAAATCCAAAACTCCTCTGTTTTCTGAAAAATGCTAACTCTCAGTTGGCTACATACTCGGATTTATGAAATCCGAATCCTTTACAAAAAGTCTGAGTTCGGATTTCACAAATCCGAGTCTATGTCTGAAAAAAAAATTGAAACATTGAAACATTGGAAAACAGAAATTTAATGGCAACAAAACAATAAACGACATTCGATTAACAACAAAACAAATCAAGTTTCATACCAAAATCAATACAAAAACTACTTAAATGTGCAAAATACATCAAATGTCTCATTTTTTCCCTTTTCCTTTATTGTGCGCATTCAAACTGTATTTGTTTGGGCCCTGCCAGATCCTGTCTCCCCTCTTAAGATACGTGAGTATTAAACTCTGTTGTGGTTGCGACTGTCTACCAAACTGAGCCTCGGGTTGGGGTTGAGATTGGGACTCCCCCATGGTGAGAAATTTGACTCCTAGTTGTGGTTGCGACTGTCCACCAAACTGAGTCTCGGGTCCACCAAGGTCAAACTGAGTCTCAGGTCTACCAAGGTCAAACTGAGTCTCGGGTTCACCAACGTCTTCAAAATGAGTCTCGACCTGGATGCACGAGTCTCGAGAAGAATGTGCTTGATCCTTATTTTGTTGACTCTCAGTTTGTTGTTGCGATGTCCGAGGGGGGATTGGGACCTTCCTCTTTCTTCCTCCTCCAATCTTATCTCTCGACCACGGTTTTGCTTTTTTACCCGGCGGAGGTTGTGAGGGCAAAGATGGATCTTCATCAACCAGCATTTGGGTATCCTCCACCTCCAACTCATCATTTGCGCCTAGGGATAAAGCAGCATGTGTTTGATTGATGATATCGCCCAAATGCTTGTCGAGTTCTTCGTCTAGGAGATTCTCATCTTCTCGTTTTTCTCTAAACTTCTCGGTACTCACGCGAATGTTGTTCAATACTTCACCCTGAAAAAGAAATTGGGACGTTAATTAAGAGAGTAAAATTCTAAAAAAATAAAAATGAAAAAAAAAATAAAATGAAAACATAAGAAATAATAAAAGAAATATAGAATGAACTCACATATAATTTCACTCGACTCGAAGAAGTCTCGTATCCTGAGGTTCATAATTACCGGGATTGGATATCAGTTTGACAGTGTTTACCATGAACCATTCATAGTACCCCTCATACATAGAGCCAGGGTCTCCTTCCTCCAAATCTCGTAGCACGTACTCTTCTCTCCTATTCCAATGACGACGTACTGCGGAATGGTGGTCCACTCAATTGTTGCTAGGATACCCAGACATACTGTGGGCGTGATCGAGAAGGAATGATACGTTATCTTTAATCATAGGGCACTTGGAAACATGCTGTATGTATCCAAATTGTCTCACAACTCTGCCCGTCTCGTGGGGTTCCCTAATAGCCCAACAGAACAGCCAACACCTGGTCGTCCAAATGGCTTGGCCTTGTGTACAGAAATCAGGGAGTCTATGAAGGACATGTGCATATGGTTGCCACCGAAACTGCACGAACAGAATTTCATTAGATGGTATAACCGGAATGAAAAGAAATTCAAAGTAAATATAAATACCAAATTACAAGTACTTACATCTTCAACACGCAGGCTTGTTAATTGATCTCTTAAACGTGGGGTGCTACTCCTTGGGGCGTTGCCGTAGGTGTACCTATATTCCCACCTTAATGAACAAAGGGGTACATTTGAATTAGTTAAAAAAATGAACAAGAAAAAAATAGAAATAAACATTGAGTTATTTTGAACTAAAAATACGTACCGCTGAGCTAATGGAGCGGTCTCATCAATCAAATAATCTACTCTTTTTTTGTGTGGCGCGATTCTCTCGATCCGCTTATACGCCCATACCTAGTAAATTGCAATAATAATGTTAAAATTTCAAATTATAACGTCGAAAGCGGAAAATAATTAAAACACCAATTGAAAACTAATACGTACCTGTAGCAAATATAGGCAGCCAGTGGCGTCGTGCATGGTGTACTGTGATGCCTCGCATAGTCCAGAGTACAAACCAGCCAGCAGTGCCGATCCCTAACTGTATCGACTACACTGATCCAAATCCTCAACCTGGGCCAAGAACTGCAAATTGACAGTGTTTTGCGTCTTGTTAGGAAACATGAAACTGTTAATAAAATGCAGTATAAGTGTCCGGGCACTTTACTCGAATCGATGGACGGTGGAATTCTCAGGGAGTGCGCGGCCCATCTCATCTTCGAAAATACCAATATTGACACATTGCCCATTTACTTGGACTGGCCGGAATCCCAAATAAGCTTCACATCGATCCCGCCATTCATCTGTAGTCCGGCTAACTATCGTCCCGTGCACCGAGTCACCATCCACCGGAATACCAAAGAGGACCTCGACATCCTGTAGTGTCACAGTCGCCTCTCCGAAGTTGACATAGAAAGTGTGGGTTTCTGGCCTCCACCGTTCCACCAATGCGGTAATGAGACCGAGATCCACTCTTTTGTAGCCTACTTTCATGATCCCCTCAAAACCGGCTCTCTTTATGACTTCCTTAACCTCTGGTGCCGTATTTTTGTATATTCCCCAAAAATCGCTGTCGTATCCACGGCCCTTGAGGCGGAATGTTTTAATGTCTAGTATCTTGTTCTCATACACAGCTTGGGACCTATGCTTTATTTGACGATAAAGCATTTTATTTTGTATCGGTCCCGGGTGAAGATGTTTAGGTTGATATTCAAATTGCGAGCCCGATGCTGGCGTCGCTATTTCAATCCTACACAAGGTAAGCAATGCGGCTTTCAATCCAAATATGCAAAATAATGATGCACTAACCAAATACCATATACATTCGGCCAAGAAATAAAACTACCAAACCATAAACATTCGGCCAAATAAACAAAACAACCAAACCATATACATTCGGCCAAAAAATAAAACTACCAAACCATATACATTTGGCCAAATAAACAAAACAACCAAACCATATACATTCGGCCAAAAAATAATACTAATACAACAACAATGCACAACAACAAATAATAATACTAATACACAATCCAAACACTATATCAACACCACTAACATTCACAATTCACAATTCACACAACTATACAAATCCAACACAAACACTATATCAACACAACTATACAACACAATTCACAAACCAACACAATTCACTAATCAATACAACACAATTCAAAATAAACTAAACCACAACAATACACATTAGGAAAAAAAAACACATTCGTATTTCACGAAAAAAAAATATTTGACAAATAAAATAAAGAGAGAAAAACTTACACCAAAAGGAGGGAGTCGCCGGTGGGAGGAGGGAGTCGCCGGTGGGAGAGATGGAACCGAAAGGAGAGAGGGTCGCCGGTGGGAGGAGGGAGTCGCCGGTGGTTTAGAGTTAGGGTTGTTTAATTGTTAGAATTGGGGGAAAAATGGGAGGGGGAAGAGTTGACCAGGAATATATAGTCCCGTCAAACTCGGATTTGTGAAATCCGAGTCTCCCTGTTTCTCCTCAAATTGCAACTCTCGGATGGATTTCACCGATTCGGATTTCAGAAATCCGAGTGCTTTGCAAATTCAAAAAAAAGTCTGAGCTCGGATTTCGGAAATCCGAGTCTCCCTTGTTTCTCCTCAAATTGCAACTCTCGGATGGGTTTCACCAATTCGGATTTCCGAAATCCGAGTCCTTTTCAAATTCAAAAAAAAGTCTGAGCTCGGATTTCAGAAATCCGAATCCTTTAGAAAACCTTAAAATGATGAGTATTTTGCACAATCCCAAAACCTGTTATGAAAAACTAGTACATATTTCATCATACTTTACAATCCGAACAATTCAATGTTCACATTACAATCCGAATTTATCAATGTTAAATTTATCAAACACTAAATGACTCTCAATTCCAGCTGTCATTCACATGTCTTCTATCTATTCCTGGGTGCGAGAATGGACAAGAATTGGCATCATGACCTTGTTGTTCACATCTCCAACATTCCCCCCGGCTCCGGCGTCCCCTGTAATCCATTTGCATTCTATGTCTCCTTTTTTGTCTTCGTCCCGGTCCCGCATGCAACACAAGACGCTCATAATTCGGAATGATGGTCCAATTGACCGTCGGCCATTGTTCCTCATCGGGAACCGGCACAAAGCCCGTGTAATCAAATTGTCTGTGCCACATTGGAAGGCGCCACACACTATGGTATAGATCAATAGGCCGATCCCCTTTTCTCCGACAAACTTGGAGTGCGTGCGTACAAGGCATCCGGTACTCTTGCCACTTTCTGCACAAACACCTATGTTCATCGTAGTTCACCATATGCAAAGACCCACCCCTGCCACTTAGCCGTGTTGCAGTAACAACACGCCACATAGCATCATCACCATCAAAAGGGGTGACTTCAAAGCTGGCTGCTTTGTCGTTCATTTTCTCGTATTTTTTCTATAACTCAGGAGGGGTCGGTGTCATGCAATTTCTCGCAGACAATTGTTCTGGCGTCTCATCCCACATCTTAAGAGCTAACTCATCCTTGTCCACACATGAGGCATCCCATTTCCCCATCTTACTATATACATGGCGTCGAGGCAATGGATTATAATCCCTTTCCTCATTTTCCAACCTTTCATCATCACTTTCTTCAAAATCATTCTCTCCGGAGACATCACAGTGTTCTTCGCTTTCATTTGGAGCTATGTAGTCGGAATCTGACTCTTCCCGGTAGTCATCTTGTGCAAATAAAGGTCTCTCTTCATCACGATTTTGAGAAGTACTAGCACGTTCCCCCCTAGGAAAACCACCAAATAACACGTTTTCCAAACTCGCTTCTCTTTCTTCTTGAGTGATATCTTCCAAATCTATGTATAAATCCAAACATGACATTCAATCTACACGGTTCATGAACTCTACATGCGAATCATTCTTGATCTTCACTACACGTCTACCACCGGGACTATCGAAAATCAAAGAAAGGTGGAGTTTCACGTGTGCTGGATCCCAACCAAGTGTCATACAAATCTTACTAATCAATCCCTCATATGACAACTTTTCCTCAACAAACAAACCATCATCCGGCATATTCAAAAAAGTGTTGATGCTACCATTCTCTATCACATACTTGCTTTTATGATACAAATTAAGCATTGATAACTGTTAAAAAAAAATCAATGACTAATCATTTCTTAATAACAAAATCAACAAATACACCATACATACTCCATTCATAATTCAAAAAACCTATAAAATACTAAAATACTTATAAATCAATTTCCATATCTCATGAACAACTATGATTTCTAATCTCTAACCTCAAAATCAACACCTAAAACATCCAAAAACCAACCAACATAAACCTTAATCTATCATATATCATTCTAACAATCAAAATAACACAAAACTAAACTAAATAACATGGTTTTGCAATCTAACCTCTTTCAAATAACGATTCCCACGTATCTAGAGGCAAGAATGCATCAAAAGCTCCAATTCGCCCTTGTTTGAGCTGCAAAAACAGAAAATCCAACTCAGTTCTCGAATGAGAACTGTCTGAATTTTTTTTCTTTTATAGCATGTTAAACTCGGATTTACGCAATCCGAGTCCATAAGTAACTCGGATTTTTAAAATCCGAATTACAGTGGCCTCGGATTTCCTGAATCCGGATTTGGTCAATTCTGGATTATTTTATTTATTTTTTGGTCCTTCAATTTATGGCAATGCCTACTTCCACCAACCAAAATTAAAGGCAGTCGGATTTCCAAAATCCGAATTCATAAAACTGGATTATGGGCTTCCGGTTTTTGGATTCAAAAATTTTGCGCCGCAATTTTCTTTTTTACTTTTTGTACACTTGGATTTTGTAAATCCGAGTACTACTGTTCATTTAAGGAGTCCAGGTCCTGGACTCCTTATTTGAGTTCAAATATCTTGCGCCTCAATTTATTATTTTTTAATTAAATTTGGATTTTAGAAATCCGGGCGGAACTATTCATTTAAGAATTTTTAAAAACTATTATTCAACAAAATTTATTTAATTATTATTTTATTAATAAATATAAGCTTGGATTTACGAAATCCGAGTCTTTAATTTTAATTAGAACTCGGATTTCGGAAATCCGAGAGATATATTTCTGTCCACTAATATTCTGAAAAATTCAAATTTTTCTACGTTTATTTTAATTAATTTTTTTTGGGAAAAAGCCCCGGCGAAGGAGGTCATTTCCTTTATGGTGAATGTGGCTTTTTGGGGGAAGGAGATAGTTTATATGCTGAATTATGTGGTATTCTCTTTGGATTGCGAAAGTGTGATTACTTACAACTCACAAACGTGGTTATCCAAACAAATAGTAAGTTACTTTCGGATGCTATTGTTAGAAAAGGCGACTTTCCATGGAGATTTTTTCTGGATTTGATGGAAATATGTTTGATTATTGATCGCAATGGGTACTCTATTACTCATATTTATAGAGAAGCAAATTCGGTTGCCAACAGCCTGGCCAAGTTGGCTTCAAGTGGTATCTCCACTACATATGATTCTTTTAGCTTGTTGCCTCCCTATGTAAAAGGCCTTGTGGTTTTAGACCAAAGGTCTTATCCATATTTGCGTATTAGAGAATAACTTATATAATAGTGAGCCTTTGTAAAAGTAAGGGGTCAGACCATCCTCTGCCTTGAGATCTTTATTCAAGATGGTAATAAAATTGAGGAAAGGAGAGGCTAAGGAAATAGTGGCATTTATGTCCATCCCTTGGGTAGACCCCTTGGGTGCATTATGTCATCTGGCACTGCCTGGCATAAAAATATACCTCCTGGGTATACCCCTTGAGTTTTTTTTATGTCAGATGGAACCTGAATACCTCCTTATTCTCTCTGTTTAAAAAGAAATAATTAGATAGCAACTGAAGTGGAAATAACAGTTGAATCCTTTTCTTGATTTAATCTTTTCATCACCATTGTAGTCTTAGGAATTTATTTTCATTGTTAAATCATTTCTCTTTGATTTTAGTTACTATTTTCGAAAATTTATATTTACTTACCTCCGTTTGGGGATTCGACCCTGCTTTCCGCTTTATTGCATTTTAGAGTAGGTTAATAATTGTTGGTTTGACAACCATCATACTTCCACTGCTTCCCCCCTCCAATATTAGTCTACCACAATTATCCTGCCCAGTTTGTTCCCTTTCCCTGTCCCCATCACAGATTTGCTCTAGCCCATCCCTTCCCCCTATTTCTCCTTTTCCTTCTCCCAACTCAGTTCACCATTTCCTTTAGTATTCAATGGTGCTTCCTTCTGATTCCTACACCAACAGCCTACTGTAATTCACTGCCCATATTGGCCTTTCCACCAAGCAGTTGTTTTCTGAATCTGATACTCTCTTATCACAGCCCTTTTCCAAATGCCCTATTCGACCACAATAGTAGCAAAGCCTGGAAGCTGCTCATACCAAAATTCCACCCATACTTCTTTCCCCTTGCTTATGACCAGAGTGCCTTGTTCAAGTGGTTTACTCAAATCTATCTCTACCAACACCTTTATATGTCCGTATTCAGATCTAGATACTTTCAGGACCATAGCGTCCTTAACATCCCCCATAAGTTCCCCTAAGTCCATTCCAGTTTCCCTCGATAACCAATGCATCGGAACATTCCAGATCTGGTATAGAAAATAAATGATGGTAAAATCACCATTGTATTGATGCCGGTATAACATATTTATACAGATTAAGTTGACCTAAAACCGTAACCATAAAAGTAATTATACAACTATTTACAATTTACAGTTTACATTCATTACTCCCCCTCAAGTTGGAGCATGTAGATCTCTAATGCGCAACTTGCGTATCAAGGTAAGGAATTTGTCTCGCCCCAACGCCTTGGTAAATAAATCGGCCAACTACAGATCTGAAGAAATCGAACGAGGCACGAGCAACTTAGACTGGAAATGCTGTCGAACAAAATGACAATCGATCTCAATATGTTTCGTACGCTCATGAAATACCGGATTCTCAACAATATGGAGGGCTGTCTGATTATCACAATACAATGGAACGGGTTGAGCCGAAGGCACTCCTAACTCACCCAAAAGTCAAACCAACCACACAAGTTTGCTAGTTGCAACTGCCATAGCTCTATATTCCGCCTCTACTGAAGAACGTGAAACCACAGTCTTCTTCTTAGATCCCCATGAAATTGGAGAAGAACCCAGGAACATAAGATAGCTTGTGGTGGAACGACGAGTAGTGGGACACCCAGCCCAATCAGCATCACAGTACGCACGCAACTGTAAAGAAGTATCCGTAGGTAAAATTATTCCCTGGCTTGGTGCCGTCTTCAAATAATGCAAGACTCGCATTGCAGCATCAAGATGAGGCTGTCGTGGCTTATGCATAAACTGACTAAGCACATGAACTGCATAAGCTATATCCGGACACGTAATAGTCAGATATAAAAGACGCCCAACAATGCGTCGATATCGGCCAGGATCATCACATAATGCCCCCAAATCAATGGCCAAACCATGTTGTTGCTCCATCAGAGTGGAACTCGGACGACATCCAATTAGTCCACACTCTGCCAAGATATCAAGTGTATATTTTCGTTGACTAAGAGCAATCCTTGTCGGAGATCGAGCCACCTCTATGCCCAAAAAATATTTCAGCGGACCAAGATCTTTGATATGAAAGCGCCCATGAAGATATCTCTTAAGCCGACCAATCTTAACGGGATCATTGACAGCCACAATAATATCATCAACATAAATTAAGACCGCAAGAAATGAAGACCCACTCTTATAAGTAAATAAAGAAGAATCAGAGTAAGACTCCTTGAAACCAGCAGAAACAAGTGACTGAGTGAATTTTTGATACCAATTCCGATAGGCTTGCCTCAAACCATAGAGTGACTTCTTAAGACGACAAAAACGGTGCTCCCCCTTTGTGGCAAAGCCCTGAGGAATTTTCATGTATACTTCTTCCTGAAGATCGCCATGTAAAAAGGCATTGGTGACATCAAGCTGATGAAGGTCCCAATTGCGAACAGAAGCCACAACTAATAAGCAACGAACAGTAACTAACTTGGCAACAGGAGCAAAGGTCTCATGGAAATCAACACCCTCAATTTGAGTAAAACCGTTGGCCACAAGACGTGCCTTATAGCGCTCAACACTACCATCAGGATGGAATTTAACCTTGTACACCCATTTAGAGTCAATGGCTCGCTTTCCAGGGGGTAGAGGGACAAGCTTCCAAGTATTATTGGCCTCAAGAGCAGAAATTTCCTTGGCCATGGCATCTCTCTATTGTGCAAATTTCACTGCCTGAGAAAAATTAGTAGGCTCATCTATAGAAGAGATGGCTGCTAACAAGGCAAGATGAGCTTTAGAAAAGCGATTATAGCACAAAGTCTGAGAGAGAGGGTGTACTATAGTTAACTAATGGAGAGGGGGCAGTGGTCCGCGATGGATTATGAACTGACTGTAAAGAAGGTGAAAGGACATATTGATATCCAGCAAGATGTTGAGAGACCTGACGAGGACGTTTAGATAGAGGATCCAAAGGCACAGGGGATGGAGAATCGGGCACACGAGAATCTGCGGAAGGGTTAGGAGGATCAGAGGGACTAGGGGAAATGGGTGACTCCACCGAGGGAAGAGGATCATCGACAAAATATGTGGAATGGTCCAAGGTCGGAGGAGGGGCGGGTGGTGGGATAGAGGAATCAGAGGCAGAAGGAAAAATATTTTCGAAGAAAATGACATCTCTTTAAGTGTAAATGAGTTTATGCTCAAAATCATAAACCCGATACCCCTTTTGACCATGGGGATAACCAACAAAAATACCCGTATGCCCTCGAGAAGCAAATTTATCACGGGGTTTACCTGAAGAATGAGCATAGCACAGACAACTGATATGCTTATATTTTACCTATTTATTATATCCATAATTTGTGATTTTTACAATATATTTTGAGTACAAATATGCTATTTATGTGATTTCATCTTTAATTGTAGGAATTGTACTCAAATGGAGGGATTGTTGAAATTTTAGGTTAAAATGAAGATAAAAGCAACTGAAAGGGATAATTGAAGATTTGATAAATTGAGAAGGAAGAAATTGAAGCACTTGAAGAGCTGGAGGAGTTTTAATTT